TAATTTTTTTCAGATTTTTTGAATGCTAGGTTTGACATAAACACAAATGACAACATATTAATGAGCACACTTTTCACAGTAATTATGACAATTTAACATTATTGAAGAGTGAAAGTAGTGATACACTGCTGTCTTATGTTTGCTTGTCATTAAACACTAGCTTAATATTTAAATTTGACTCAAAAATGAATTCCAAAAAAAGCAATTTCTATTTTGCACCTAGCTCATAGTTTCTTAGAGTTTATTGTGGCTAAAAATATTGTGGTAACCAAGTCTTGTCTGCTTAAAATTCTTCAGTAGCTACCTCACTGGGTTAAATCCAAACTCCTTAACAGGTATTTAAAACCGTTTATTATCTTACTCAGATAAAACCTTTCCAGCTGTTTTTTGTTTCCACTTCTACTTTGTACTCCCAGCTTTTCTCACTTTGGCAATCCCCTGTCCTAAGAGCAACATCTAGATGTTATTGAAAAGAAAGGACTACTCTGTTTTCCCCTAGGCATTGGAGCTTTGCTAAAAAAACTGTTAGTTGAAGTTTTTCTAAAATCATGCTATCTAATTTTAGCAGGACATTCCCCTTTTGCTTACAGAGTTTTTCCTTTTTTCTTACTGCTCTTCTTCCACTTTATTTTCCAAGCTTTGTTCACTTTTTTTTTCTGGTTCCTTATTTTGTTTCTCCCTTTCCCCATTTTAGGAAATAATCCTCAGATAATTGTATTGTTGCCGAGGTTAAGAATCATCTAATTTCTTTCCAGTTTACTTTAAATTTGCTATTTCTACCATACCTCTTTCTTCTTTATACATCTTAGAAACCTGTGTAATCCTCATAGCCAAAGCCAACCACGATGACTATGTTGTTCATCTTGTTCCTTTCACCATTACATAACATTGGTCTTATTTTAATATCCTTAACACTTTTTTAACATTTTAAGACTGTAGTGCCCTACTCTTTGGTTTATTATTGACCCAACTAACATTTGAGGTAGGCTTGGGGAAGGAAAGTTTTTCTAATTCTGCTCTACGTTTTGTTTTTTGTTTTTTTTTGTTTTTTTTTTTTTAAGAATAATCAGTTTTTAATTTATCCTTCCACATTCAATTTAAACATGTGTATAGTGGTTTTAGAAATGTTTTCCCAGGGGCGCCAGGGTGGCTCAATCAGTCAAGCGTCTGACTTTTGCCCAGGTCGTGATCTCATGGTTTGTGGGTTTGAGCCCTGCATTGGGCTCTCTGCTTGTCAGTACAGAGCCCGCTTTGGATCCTCTGTCCCCCCACACCAACACCTTCCCTCTCAAAAATAAACATTTAAATATAAAAATGTTTTAATTTAATTTAATTTAATTTAATTTAAATTTAATTTTTCTTGTGCAGTCCTTTTCAGTCGATTTATGTGTATTTATGTTTCTGATAGCCATTTTAAAAGAACTTGGGTGAATTTGTCAGGTCATCTTTAGTTTTACATTCCCATAAAAATAAATTAATGATCACAAGTAATGATGCATGAAATAGAAATTGTTTAAGGATGCTTTAGAGTTCTGTTTGAAATTCTGCCAGGAGTTCCGGGGAGCAGGGGTGAGGATGGGACAGCACACTATTGTATAGGTCATGGAAGAGGATAGTAAAGAGAGATTTCCCTAAAAGGTCAAAGATTTCTCTCCTGCAACCAAATGGAAGAAAAGAGGTCAATTGGAATAAAACACACTTGGGGAAAATGTGCATAATGTTTTATTTTAGTACTTGTCTATACAGAGCAAAATTATTAAAATATTAAATTGGTGATATTACTAATAATGAAGTCAATATGAATATAATGGGACTTTTTGTTCTTTTAGTTGGTGAAAAGTCACTGAACGCTGACTTTCAGGTTGCTACTATTTTCATTAAAAACTGGCATTTTGGTCAAAAAGGTGTTTGGTTTTTGTTTTTCCCTCTTTGTTAACATGAAAATATGTGAAACACCCTCTATAGTAGAATGTAAAGCAAACTTTTATTCAAATACATAAGAACAAAATGATTTCTATCAGTATTATGAAGCACAATGAGATGTCATGATTTTACTTTTTCATATATTCTACCAGTATTAACATAAAATTTTACTTTTGTTGTGAGTTTAGGTCAGAGCCAAATATTACCTTAATTTTTAGAAGATAAAGTGAATAAATTGACTTAATTTGTGGAGTTAAAAGAGTTGAATAAGTAAGTTTAAGAGTTGAATAGATGCTTTATTGCCGTTTTTTATTCAGCTCATGCTTAGTGCAATTCCCATGTGCCAAGTGGTATGTAGACCACCTTTCTGGAAGTCATAGTCTACTACCATTCCTTCTTCTCTTTTCACTGATAGCAGAGATACAATCTTCTTTCCTTTAATTCCCCAAACAGCTCTGTATTCTATCTCTTTTGAGCTTTCTCTGCTATCATCTGTTTTATCACTTCTCTCTCCTGCCTGTACTGTTTTAACAACTTTCACCTGGCCTCCGATTGTTTATCCTAATTCACACTGATGCCAACAGGATCTTTGCTGTTGTTATTAAGCAACAGCTTAATAATCTTAAGTGATCCCCTTTAGAAAACATATTTCATAGTATACCATAAAAGGTCCTTTACAGTTTTTCCCTAACTTCATCCTTATGCCTTTACCTCACACTCTAAGTTAGCGTACAGACTAACTTGGAGTTCTTACATTGACATTTTCATGCCTTTGATCAGACTTTTCTCTCTTGTTGCCATATGGAATGTTTCTGTTTTTTTAAAGTAGTAAGAGTATTGCTAAAGTAGGGGCACCTGGGTGGCTCAATCATTTAAGCATCCAACTCTTGATATTGGCTCAGGCCATGATCTCATGGTTGTGAGATCGAGCCCCAAGTTGGGCTCTCGCGCTCTCTCTCTCTCTCTCTCTCTCCCGTCCCCTCTCCCCCCACGCCAAATAAATAAAGAAACCTAAAAAGAATATCGCCAAAGTAAAAATAAGAATACTACTACCAACAGAAGCAGTGGTAATAGTCTTACTGTGTACCAGGTACTCCATCCTCACTTACTTATTTAGTTTTTGCAACAGTGCGATGATATGCGTAAAGAAAAGAAAACTTAGGCATAGGAAACCTGTAACTTACCCAAGGTTAAACATATAGAAAGTGGCCATACCAGGTCATGAACTAAGATGTTTGACCCTGGAGTCTGTGTGCAAAGCTTACTACATTACGTTGTATCTTCATGCAGAACGCTCTGTCCAGGCATCACTGCTTCTGGATTCTTTTCCAGATCCTATTTCTTCACCTCTTAGGAAAAACACCCTGTTCCCTTGTTTGAATCTCTTCTGATCAACAGTATAGCACTTCAGACATGTTACTGCATTTACACTCTTTTGCCTTGCTTCTTAAGGACAGGAATCCTGTGTCTTTGTATCTCTAGTGTTTGGCACATACTTAATCTTCAGGCAAATGAATAAATGAGTGCATGAATCACTGAATTTTAAAAGTAGAAGGAACCTTAGGAATCATCCAATTTAACCACCTTGTTTTATAGATAAAGAGCCTGAGATAAGTGAATGGGATAAAAATACCAGATTTTAATGTAGATAATTTACCAAAGTTAAATTTTATCACTAGTCTTTAGTGGTTGGTTACCCACTTAATTTGCTTCAAAGCTCAGAAGAATGTGAGTTAATTGAGAGTATTGTAGGTAGTGTTGGCCGACTCTGGTTTAGGATATAGCATTTAAAATGTTCTGTTAGGGCGCCTTGGTGGCTCAGTGGGTTGAGTGTCAGATTCTTGATTTCAGCTCAGGTCATGATCTCAATGGTTGTGAGATCAGCACTAACAGTGCGGAGCCTGTTTGGGATATATTCATTCATTCCCTCTCTCTCTCTCCCCCCCCCTCCCTCCCTTCCTCTTTCCCCCAAACCCCTGCTCGATCTCCCTCTTTTTCTCTCTCTCTCAATAAATATTTACTTAAAACAAATGTTCTGTTAATACTGTGTTTGTGGTCATTTATATGTCCTATCAGTATGAAGGTGATAATACATCTGTACATTTGCTTTTGTGGATCTTCTAACTACTTTCTAATGTCAGATATAAGGAGGGGGTTGTTTTTTAAGAATTAGATTGGATGGTTGTAACATGCCACCTCTGAAACCTATGGATAAGTTTGAATTTGGGAAATGGATAAGGCTAATGACAATATTCTCCACTTTTTTGTGTATTTAAAACTTTCAAATAATGGAAAATAAGAGGAAATAGAGGTTGGTAAAAAAGTATAAATTTACAGCTATAAAATGAATTAAGGAAACTAAGAAAAAAAATAATAAAGCCTAGAAGTTCTAATCTCTGGTTTTGATTATGTGAAATTGAAATGTCTATTTGTAAATATAGATATTCCTGGAAATGTGTATCTTTTACAGTTTCTTTCTGAGCTTATGCTAGTATAGCAGAATGTGTAATTTATGTATTTTTATTGACTTCATGGGAGATAAAATGAAATTTGTTTTGTTAACTAACAAATCAGCTTTGGTGATTTTATATGTAATGTATTTAGCTGAAGATTACTGATGGGAAACTCATTTATGAATTACATTTTTAACTTCCTAGGAGAAAAATTAGCTTTCGTTTCTGTATAACATAATATATACAGGATTAATCACTATTGTGTATTACATTATGTTCTCTTATTACAATTTTGTTTTGTTACTTCAGAAGTTCAGATTCTTTCACAAGATTCCGGATAGAGGTTACCAGAGGTGGTGGGTAGGAGATCATAGGTAAATGTTATTATTAACATCCTGTTTCTCCTGGTAGATTGGTGGACACACAGGTATTGTTTGTAAGTGAATGATTTAATAAAAATAGACTTGTATAGAGGAAAATTCCTAAAATAAGTGTTTAACACTTCAGTACTTAAGAATATAAGTGTTGGGAAGTGAACATAACAGATACAATTTTTTATCTCTGTTCAGAATTTGAATTACAATTTATAGAGTTAATTCTCTTAATACTCATTTTTGTTTTAAGGGTTCTGATGACTGCCTTGTGAAAATCTGGGCAACAGATGATGGAAGATTATTAGCTACTTTAAGAGGACACGCTGCTGAAATATCAGACATGGCTGTAAACTATGAGAATACCATGATAGCAGCTGGAAGTTGTGATAAAATGATCCGAGTCTGGTGTCTTCGAACATGTGCACCTTTGGCTGTTCTTCAAGGCCACAGTGCATCTATAACATCACTACAGGTAATTTGCTTAATCCCTGTAAAATCCTTTTGATTATGATTTAAATTTTAAGTAACTGTTATAATCCATTGTATAAAGCCAACTAAAATGAAGAAAGGAATATTTCTTTTTTCTTTATAAATATATGGACGTTAAATACATGGTAGTCATGACCTTCATCCATTGTGAATGCTTTCTAGCTCTGTTTATTAGTTGCTGTTTATATGGTAAAAAGTGGGTTATTTGGATTGTGTCACTCTTCTTATATTTTTTTTCTTCTTCAATTGTTTTTCAGTTCTCACCATTGTGCAGTGGCTCAAAGAGATATCTATCTTCTACAGGGGCAGATGGCACTATTTGTTTTTGGCTGTGGGATGCTGGAACCCTTAAAATAAAGTCAGTTGCTCTTTTATTTCATAGAATCGATTATTTAATTTAATGGTTAAAATTGCAATAATATAAAGTAGTCAACAATAAGTATAAATTTATTTATTCTCCTTGAGTAAAAAACAGAAATGCATTCACTGACCTCTTTGATTTTCATGCTTCTCCCCGCACTCACCTTTTTTTCCATGCTTCAAAGAAAGTTTATGTTAACAGGTTTGGTTTTTGGTTTTTTTCTCTTTTTCCTAGCCTTAGCCATTTCCTTCAGAACATACCTGTTTCATTATCACTCCTTTCAGTATACGGCATAATTTCATCTCAGTAGCTCCTTCTGGTGTTGAGAACATAATCTTAAGAATTCCTAAGGCTATTCTTTAGAAGAATTGTAGTTTATTTGTGTCACTGAATCTACAAACTTTAGGTTTTATTGAAGATCTCAGGAAACGTAGGAAAACAGATTAAGTTTTTACTAAATTACATCAAGGTAGATAAATGCATCCTCACCTCATCCCATAATAGCATTTTGCATCTGTGCTTTCTCTTGTTCTAGTGTCTTGGTTTATTAAAACAAGGTGGTTAGACAGTGTTCTCTTTCGATTAAGGACAATGAGGCAAAACAGTTCTTAAGAATTGGCATGGCCAGGACTTAGAACAACACTTCTCTGCCCTTTGGTACCATGCTATCTATGCCTTGCCACCTCTCAAGTGGGTATAATAGGGAGAGGAAGTGCTGCATATTGCCCCATAGGCAGTCTCTGAATGGGGAATTGGTGCACTCAGTGATTCTGCAGTGTCTAAATGGTCATCTCTGTGCTCTCATGGTAGAACATCATTCAGATTAGAAGGGATATCTCAATAATTCTGTCTGACTTTTGTTTATAAATATCAACTCAAGTTGAGTAATTTGAGAATGTCTTTATAATTTTAAAAGAGTAGTATTTAGATAAGCTTCGTGTATATTAAGATTCCTGTAGAGTGCTGCTAATGGCAAGGCATTAAGAGGCCATGGAAGGTAGAATAACATAATAAAATGTACTTCATTTGAAAAAAAGGATTCTGATTAAGACATGATTGTTTGGAGAAAGCAAGTTGATTTCTAATTTTAGTTGCATTCTTAATATTTAGAATATTAAAGATTTTCTGTAAACATTAAATAAAAGTTTAAATATTTTACTGATGTGTGTGGACAATAGCAATAGCTAATTATTGTTTTCCTTTGAGTATTTTTTACCTTCTTATGGACCAGATTAGGATACCATTGTGTTTTCATGTTTTGTTTTTATACAGAAGAAAAATATGACTAACAGTCTTCAAATTAGCATAGGAACAAAAATGTTTTCACAAAATTAAACTCTCAACTTTGTGCTTCTTGAGGATTACATTGCTAAGTACGATAATATTTATCTGGATTCTTGAGAAGTGAATTATTCCATATAAGTGATATTTTTTTCAGAACCTTTACAGAGATTTACCCATTAACCAACTATCCTAACAGCTTTTTCACATAAATGTGTATTTTTAATGTAGATGCAAGTAGAGAAATGCATATAATTTTCTGCTGTTTTTTTCTTAACATTTTATTATAGGTATTTATAATAATTTTAATAGCTGCATTATGTTCCACTGAGTTGTTATGCTATACTTTGCTTCATGTTTTTCCTATTTTTGGACATACAAATTTTTTTATAGTTATTATAGGTAGGATTTTTTTCTATTCTTGTAATCATCCCTTAAAAGCTTTTAACCTACAGTCAGGCATAAAGGAGTAATTTTTTCTTAGTTATAGACTTGGGGACACTTAGTTTCTTTTGCATATTTACTCATGGCTAATAACTGCCAAAAATTTTGGCAGGATGTAGATTGTTACTGTCACATGGGTTTTAATTACTGATCAAAGGCAAAAATTGTATTGAACTGTAATGCTTTTGTATAATCTGATGAGGAGGTGCCTTCAGTAACCCAGTCTGCATTGAGAAAATCAATTCTTTTAGAAGCTAATGAAACCTATTTTGAAACCCAAACCTCTTGATAAATTTGTTTTTATACAGAGTTTATGTATGTGGTAACAACTTCCACTAATAAAGATGCTGCTTCTTAGATGAGAAATAGGAGTGGCTGCGTGACTCGGAATCTGACTGAAGAGATCTCTGAGTAGGAGAGAAAGGCTGTCCAAGCATATTTAGATGTAAGAGGAGAATGGGAATCCTAAAATATATAGATGATAATGATTACAAATTTTTATTAAGCACTTAGTCTGACAAGCTTGTACTAATAAGCACTTTCTATTTGTCATCTCACTAATCTTTATGACAACCCTATGAAGAAGGTACAATTATTTTCTTTAGTTCAGATAGGAGAGAAAATAGAGGTGGATACTGGAAGTATTTTGTCAACCCCCTCTCAAGCAGAGTGCCAAACTAAAAAGCAGTTATTCATTGATTGACTATCTAGAACTGGTTGAATTAAATTAATTAAAATACTAATGATACTAATACTTATTGAGTGTGCAGTACTAAGCATTTTACGTGGGTTAAATTTATTCAGTTATCTCAGTAACTCTTAAGATATGTTTTGTTTTTACTCCCATTTTATAGATGAGACTGAGGCACAGAAATGTTAACTTGCCTAAGGTCATAATGCTTGATAAGTGGCAGAGCTGGAAACTGGACTCACAGAATCTGATACCAAAGCTTTATCTTAAAATATTTCCTCAGATGTGCTTTTAAAAACAAATTATTTGTGGGGTTCCTGGGTGGCTTAGTTGGTTAAGCTTCCGACTCTTGATTTTGGCTCTGGTCATGATCTCACAGTTCGTAAGATCAAGCCCCACTGCTGACAGCGTGGAACCTGCTTGGGATTCTCTCTCTTCCTCTCTCTATCTGCTCCCACCCTCAAAATAAATAAATAAACATTTAAAAAATAATAAATTATTGTACTTGTTTATCTATTTTTTCCCTTTAAAAATATTAAAGTCCATTTAAAATGGCAATTTGTATGATTATTTGTATATTCTGATTGTAAGTTACAGCTAAATGGTTGCTTAACACAAGAATGAATGTGCTAAAAATTAACAAAAATGGAGAGCTGGAATCCATAAGATATTAATGAAAGTAGTGTATTTAGTTGTCTTTATAATTTCAGATTACTTAAATTATGGTTACTTAATTCTACTCTGAATAATTGTTTAGGTTTTAAGAGTGTTTTAATAACTTTCTGTTCTCTAAACTATTCATGCTCAGTTATGTCAGGGCTTGTGACTATTAGGAAAAATTGTATAAATGTCACTTTAAAAATTTATTTAATTAAAATTTTTAACAAATACTGTTCTGTATCACTTTGACAAAAATTCCTTTTTCTGAATGTGTAATTGATAGATCATAAATATTTTGTCCTTTTTTTCCCTGATATGATTACAAAACTGAAACCACTCTATTTTCAATTGCTATGGATTATACAATTTATGCAGTGCACTTTGATTGAAAGCTCTAATTATTTCTTTGAATTTTCTCCCCTGATACCTTAAGGAAAAACTAGATCAAAATGTATGTTAAGTAGGGCTCTAAATAAAATCCCTGTATTAGAGCGTTACAAATATATTGTGTACTTATTGGACCTGGTATGGTATAAAATCTACAGTTTTTCTTTCTTCAATACTGTTGATTGTAACAAACATGTAACGTCAGTAGTGTAAATATAAGACATATTCTGTAATACAAAATTATACAGTTAATGTACATATATTTAAAGGAAGATGATTTTTCTGTAGATGTCTATTTTGAATGAACATTATAGTTGACATAAGATTCAAACAGTCTTCAGATTTTCACTAGGATAAGTGTTTAAGATTCTTTTTGGAGTCTTAAAAAGCGTATTTTGTCACATTGGAAGATAAACAGAGGGAAATATTTAATTAACAGTGCCTAATATTGAAAAAGTTTAGTTAACTGATGGTATACTTATGCCACAGAGGCAGTACCTATTTTGCTGGTGTGTTCATGTTTTCAAATGACTTATTTTCTAATGTATTTGTGCATTGCTACAGTACTGTATGAAAAACTAAATCCTGTTAAATATGGTTAGAAGTAAGTATAACTAATAACTACATGTCTGGTGTGACAGTGGCTTTGAGAGTGTTTCATGTGTGGATTGTTGTATAATCTGGGGCTCCTATGAAATCTGTAGAGTTTCCATAAGATCTGCTGATCACGACACATAATGATTTCCAACTTGTTTAGGAAGGGAGCCATCTGTTGCTTCTTATTTAATTTTGTCTTTCTGTATTTAGTTTTTGAAACAGCTCATTTCTGGTGTTGCTGTTCCCTTTAGGGATATTTTTAATTGTTTATTTTTTATATTATAGTCCAAGACCTGCTAAATTTACAGAGCGCCCTCGGCCTGGAGTTCAAATGATCTGTTCTTCTTTTAGTGCTGGTAAGATTTTTCTCTCCCTAATTTTCCACTTAAAGTTGTACATTAGAAAGCTTCTAGTGGAACACATAAAATTTTGGAAAATATTTATTATCGTAATATAAATCATATTCACATACATAAACCAGGGGATGGTCATAAATTAATTTAGAAATATTTGAACTTTGCTAGAGTCTTTTTATGTATTCACGTGACTAAGAATTTTCCTTGAGACCATAATGCTCTGCTCTGGAGAATAAGAGTTTCAGAATCGACTCTGTTAAAGAATGTATCTTTGAATAGTTATCTCATTGCGAGAAAGGTATTTTAAATACGTTTTATATTTTCATGACATTTGGGAGGTATCCTGTAGCTAAGTAAAATAAATTTGATTGCTATTTGTAAATATTAAATACTTCGCTCCAAATTCTTGTTCTTTGCTCTTTAAAAAGTAGCTATATAGCAATGCTGATAACTCCAATTATGTTTTGAGTTTGTGCAGTAGCATTTTGAATGGACATGTCTTTTTAAACAAACTATAATTTGAAGATTTGAAATGAATTGATGAGAAAATGAAATGAAATATTAGTAGATTTAACACCTATTAAATGTTCCTAGTACCAGTTCCTTTTACATTTACTTCGAGTTTTACTTGTCTTTTCAATTCATAATTGTGAATAGCAGTAGTTCTTCAGATAAGTGATAGCATACTAATGACATAAATCTGTTTTTTCCATATTAATATCCAAACGTGTTTAATTTCTAACTTCTAGATTTCCACTTCTACTGCCATGAAGACCATTTTCCTTTTCGTAATAACACAATTACAGGCTTTATACATGATTTCAGAGTACTCTGTAAGGAGTTATATACAGCACTGTTTTCACTGTAGGAGAATATTGATTCAAAGTGGAGAGAGCAAATTGCTATATAAATAACTGTAATGTAAAGTAGAATGTATGTATTACAGACAAAGTCTTAATAAGAGTTCAGAGGATAGCAGGCTCATTTGATTGCAGGGTGGCAAAGACAGCCCATTGAAGAAATTGGGCCCTAAAAGTTTGATAGATTTTAACATAGGAAATGTGGCAAGAGAGGGACTTCAGTAGAGTTAAAGGGCATGTTTTCTAGGGAGGGTGATAAATTTTAACAAAGAATTATGTAATCACTTAATGAAATGATTTGTAGTGGAAATCTGTAAATATTGAAAATGCATCTTAAAGCTGTGCTAGTTAAATCTATTTTAAGTTCATTAAGTTCAGTTTTAGATGTAATTTTTATGCTTAGGATAAATATGCATAGTTTTAGAGTAAAATATTAATCATCAGTATATATTATGGTAATATTGCTTGCATTTTATTTTCAGTGATTTTGAAAGTGTTTTACTCACAAATGTTTGCTCCTACTCCTCAGGTGGCATGTTTCTGGCCACAGGAAGCACGGATCATATTATTCGGGTTTATTTTTTTGGATCAGGTCAGCCAGAGAAAATATCAGAATTGGAGTTCCATACTGTAAGTACTGATAAAAAGAATAAGATAGGTACAATTTAAATGAGTTTAACAGTTTATATTCAGGATTTTTTTTTATCTCTTTATATGTAGGACAAAGTTGACAGTATCCAGTTTTCCAACACTAGTAACAGGTAAAATAATTATTTTTGTTTGTAAATTTAATTCCAATTTTAAAGTTATCAAATACATTTCCTACAGTCAGATTTTAATTAGAACTGTATACAACTTAGCTACTAAAATAAGGATCTTGAGCAGTTACACTGAAGAGTGACTATAGCCTTCACATGCATGTGAGAACAGGTCTTATGTTTTATTTCTATAAATGTTAATTTGGGCACTTTTAACAATAGGGACTTTTATCCACCCTATATTATTTTCTATACATATCAAAGTGTAGGGAAACTTAGTAGAGTTTGGAAATGTATCATAATGTATATTTGAGACAGAACTATTTACTGAAGATAAATGATGTTTTGTAAATTTTCCCAGGTTCTTATTTGAAAATGAAAGAAAGCTATTCCTAAGTACCTTTTACCTTGAGTAAAAGAAGTCAAGTTCTTTAACATTGAGAGGAAAATCAGTATTTTTCCATTGGAAAATACTCATTTTATTTGTAAGGTAGTAAATGGTGGCCTTGAATCCCTTTTGAATGTCCTTTTGCGACCTAGCCATACACATTAGAATATGTATATAAAGTTTTAAAAGCCCGTTAAGTTGCAGAAGTTGTTAATTTAGTAGAGAATATCTGACAGAGAGTAATCTGTATTATATTAGAATGCTGTGTAAATAAAGATGAGTCTGTCTTTTAGTATTTTGAAAAACAGCTCTGGAAAAATTCATTTAGTAAAGTACATGTGTTTTTTTTTTGGGGGGGGTGGGTTTCCTTTAATTCAGATTTGTGAGTGGGAGCCGTGATGGAACAGCACGTATTTGGCAATTTAAACGAAGAGAATGGAAGAGCATTTTGTTGGATATGGCTACTCGTCCGGCAGGGTAAGAGATCGAATTTGAAATATTACATAAATATAGGTAGATCATTTAAAGTATGCTGTATTACAGGCTGGTGTGACTCTCAGCCTATAGAAACATATATCATAATCTATGTTAAAATGATTACTTTTCTGTAATAACTAGAGGTGTTACTGGAGATGGAAAGGGGATATTTCTAAAATTATTTATTGCCATATATATACACAAAGATCTGCATTAATGACTTTTTCAGTTTGATTTATTAAGATGATGATAGTACTACAGGAATACTCCTAGTTTTCTTTAAAAAGTAGAACATATTCTAGTGTTAATCTGTCACAGAGAGATGATGTAGTGTATCTAGTGGTTTTCTCCAGCCCAGAGAAATTATATTACACTTTGTAACTATTATTTTGGTTTTAATATTTAATAAATAATTCTATATTTATATGTAGTGGTCTCAGGTGGATGGGAGAGCAAAGCAATTAGCGGGGCATGACAGCAGCAGAAGATGGAGAGTGAGCTGCATGGCATAGAATTCTTGGATCCAGATAGAGTTAAAGCATTAATAACATGTTCAAGGTCATCTATTACTAAGGGCTTAGGAGTGCTGAAATCCTGGGTGTTTGCTGACTCAGTGCAGTGTTTTTGCGCTCATTCTTTGTTGATACAGATTATTCTTAATTGCTGTTAAGTGATAGTTATTCATGTAATGAACTTAAATATAGATTATAAGAAAACACATTTAGGTTTTTGTCATAATAGTATTTTAATAAATAATATTGGTGTAAACAAATACTGCCTCCATCACTTTCAGCCAAAACCTTCAAGGGATAGAAGATAAAATCACAAAAATGAAAGTAACTATGGTAGCATGGGATCGACATGACAATACAGTTATAACTGCAGTTAATAACATGACTCTGAAAGTTTGGAATTCTTACACCGGTCAACTAATTCATGTCCTGATGGTGAGGAAAAAAAACTCATTTTTATTTGGTATAATGAAGCTTATTATAGAATGGAATATTTTCATTGAGGACTAAAGTCTTTTATAAAAAAAGTTAGCCAAAAAATCTTGCTAGATGGATAACAGGTCTTTGTGGGAGATTAGAAATAATTTTAAAATGTAGTTAAGCAGGTTTGACTTGGAAATCGAAATTCTTGCTGTTCTTTAATACGTAGGGCTGCATCAGTAGTATTCTCAGGTTTCACTAAATGATAGCAAAGCCCTGAATAGTGGTATTAGCTCAGCTTCATTATTATACATTGACAAATTTGAAGATTTTTGCCACTTTAATAATTCTTAGAATTCAGATTCTAGACATGTTGCCATATTGATGTTTGATTGAATTTTCTTTTTTAAATTCATAATTCTGTGCAACTTCAAAAATATTTCAGGGTCATGAAGATGAGGTATTTGTCCTTGAGCCACACCCGTTCGATCCAAGAGTTCTCTTTTCTGCTGGTCACGATGGAAATGTGATAGTGTGGGATCTGGCAAGAGGAGTCAAAATTCGATCTTACTTCAATATGGTAATTATCAGTCTCTTCATTTTAAAGATTTGGGGACTTCATGCAGGTACTCTGCATATCACAAAGGAAATCCATTTAGGAGTTTATTTAGACGTTTTTTTGCCTTTAAGTTTCAAAAAACAATTCTGTATTCTACACTTATATTTAGGTGTTAAATTTAAAAGAAAATTGTGCATATTAACAGTACATGTATATTGGTGATAACTAATTTGGTTTCTAAAATAGTTTTAAGAGTGATACTTTGAGAAACTCACAAGTAGAAAGATACAAAATAATATAGATTAGAAAAAAGTTTGGAAAACCATGTTAAGAAATTATAAATATATTGTGTTAGTGTACTTCAGCAGCCCTCTTGTGCACAGTTTTATTCCAGTACACCCATTTTATTTGTTTTATAAAGTTTTATTTAGGTAATCGCTATACCCCACATGAGGCTTTGACTAATGACCCTGGTATCAAGAGTGTCATGCTCTTCCAACTGACTCATCCAGGCACTGCCCCAATGCACCCATTTTAAAATTAGAGCCAGATTAAAGGCTTTCTTGTCTTTTATCATCGAATTGTAGTATGTTAGATATTTATTGTGTTTAAGCCCTTTCCCCTCCAAATTTTGCTTCTTATGTAAATTTTTAGTATAATTTGCTCAGTATATATGTAGCTTATTGTGCAGTGTTTTCCACTTGTCTCTAACCACTGTATGAAGTTTTCTTCAAATACTGCTGTTTATCGTCACTTTTTAAAACATCTACTTCCTAGGTATTAGGGATACCTTTCAACAAAAGGAAAAAGAAAAACATTTATTTCTACTATTTCAGCATCTTTAGATTTTTTTTAATCAATTATGGAAGCCTCTTGTAATGAGTCATGAAAAGGTACAATTAATAGTGTGTATAGTCAGTTATTTTGAAAAGAAAAAAACCTCAGAGTGTCATTTGTGAAATGCCATGTTTTGTGAAAAAATTTCATGAAGGTGATACTATACTTCATTGATAATCATAGTAAAGTTCTACATAGTAAGAAGTAATTAAAAAGTCAGAGGGAGGAATAAGAAGATAAAAGCATTATTAGTGAAGGAATTCAGTTACCTGCCTTTATAGATATACCTTAGTGTACATAAGGTAAGAACTTAAGATTTGTCAAATTCTTATTTTTCTAAAAAGACTGCTAATTATTTGGAGTACAATTTTTAGTGACAGGCGGATTTCCTTAGTGATATGTGTATAGAGAGTTTTTTTTTTAAAGCAAATCCTTAAATATGCTGGTAAAGAATTCTTTCTTTTCTATCCTTGTGTTTCTGGTTTGCTCTTTTTTGAGGCATCTCTGTTTAAATAAAAATACTATTTTCTCAATTTGTCTTTATAGCTTCAAAAGAAAACAATTTGTGGCCTATACATATATTTTAGTGACTTTTTTTTTTTTAGTAATTTCATATTTTCAAAAGGCATTGGTGGGTTAATTGAGTGTTTGGGGGGAAAGTTTTATCTCATACTTGAATACTGCTTTCACCTTTAAGCTACAAAGGTGAATTTTTCCTGTTCAGGTAAGTTGATCACACTAATATTCCACCTTATGTTATAAAAATTGGAATACATTGAGACTTAAGTGATTTGCTCTTAGACCATTACAAATAAGTGATGTAGCCGGGAATTGAAGTCAGACATACTATATTGCATAGTCTTTGAAATTAACTAAGGGATTTAGTTAACATTATTGCCTTAAAAATTGTTTTAAGAGTTTTAGATAAGGATATTTTTCCTGTTCCAAGAATAAGGGAAAAGTCTCTAAAGGGCAGAAGAAACAACTTTATGTAATAAGTAGATTGGATGGTATCCATAGAATACTCAAATTGAGAAAGACAAAACATAGACTAAAAAGGATTAAAAATATATCCTGCACTTAAAAAACTAGAAAATGAACTACATTTTATCTAATTAAAATAAAGATACTCCTTTTAATTTTTTGCATGATTTTTAATGACTTCCAAAATACTTCTGTGTATTACCTCATTTGGTTTTCATGAAAACTTTGTAATACAATCAACAGTAGATTTTATTATTACTGGTTTTATGAATGGAGAAACTGTACAGAGATGAATTGCTTTGCCCAGGTTTATCTAGGTCACACACCTGTTACAGGGGAACTTGGGGTTTTAAACCCGTATTTTTTGGTCCATTGTTACTGTGTTCTTAATAACTCTAGTTAATGGTTGGCCATTGCACAGCTAACTTCCAAATCTACCTAGTTAGTGATATGTCACCTGGAGGAGATGTTTTTATAATGGTATTAACTCTGAGTAGATCATTTGAGATCTTAAAGTTTAGCTTGATGATTTTTTTCTGTCTCTTCATTTATAAGTTCTCTAAGTGCCCTCCCTGCTTTTTGCTCTTTGCTTTTTTGTTCATTTCATTGTTTGTTTTATCTATGGACAGATGGAAGATAAAGCATCCAGCATTGCTATTAAAATAAAAACAATTTGAGGGGAGAGTAGAAGCTTGTGTTCACTGTCCACTATCATGAAGGTAGCATTTTGGTTATAGTAGTTATAACTATTTAGCTCTGTGTAGCAAGTCAGTCATTTTTTCAGTTACTAAAATACCATAAAAGTTGAAGAAGTACAAATTCAAACTCTAATATTAAATTGTACCAGAAATCATAAGTTCGACCTAGTAAATAATTTTTTAGTGCTCTCTAGAGGAACTATTTATAGCGTGCCTTGGAAGACCTCTTTTAAGGATGAATAATTCTAGTGGAATACTCACTGTTTAGACTAGAACTGGTAAAAGTTTAGAAGAAGTATTATTAGGGCTACATAATATTTCATGTGAGTTTTAAAATCAAAGCTTTACAACATGAAGAAAAAAATCACCATTAAACAGATAGACAGCTAGAAAATACGGCATGTAAACTGCCTTTAAAAGAAAAAAAAATGTATATATAATTCTTTAAGATGCAGGTTTTTATCAATTATATTTTGAGAATACTTTAATACTGGTTTTTCTTTTTTATGATACTTTGATTTTCCACTTGAAATTCATCATACCTTTGTAAGAAGTTTTGAAATCATGTAACAAATAATTATTACGTGTTAATCAGCATTTTACTGTCCCTTTTTACCTATTACAAAAATTAAACTTTTTTTGAAATTTTATACATAGTCAAAAATTCTACGTCATCAAAAATGCCTTTCATGGGGGAAAAGTTGAGTTTTGTAAATGCCTATGTTTGGCATGGAGTAAGTACATTTTAATAAAATTATATATACATTTAATAAATTTAAAGTATGAGGCACTGATGTATTAATATTGCACTGATACTTGTCATTCTGATAAATATTCTAATTACTCC